GAGGATTTTGTGGGGACACCCACGCCTCAGGCTATGTGCTACGCAACCTGCAGGTCTGTGTCAGCTATCCATCTTACCGACCTCAGGTACTGCCGCCGGCTCCTATGGAATGGAAGAAAAGTCCTATGCAGCATTTTGATCGGTTGCCTTCCAATATCACCAAGAGTCTCACGGATAGCTCGCTGTGCGGCTGCGACGGTTCCATTGCTGCCGCCCTAAGACACGCTCTGTATGTGGAAGGGATCTTCCGAACTTCCCGGCGCGCCGACCCCACGGTTTGTTGAGACACGGCAGCAATCCCAAAGATGCATGACGGAGGTGTGAATCAGGGTAATCCAATCCGAGAAAAGGACTTGACATCCTCAACAGTCTCCGTCTTGGGCTCCAAAAGTCCTTAAATGGCCGCATTCACCGTGACACTGCTTCACGATATCGAACCACCACTCCATTCCACATCTACTCTGTTCCCCTTCAGTTGTGTCGACCAACACTCATCATGCCTTCCAAAGAGACCGGCCAGCTCCGCATTGTGGACTCCCGCACGGAGAATGCCTACCTCATCCCCATTCACGACAACTTCATCCGGGCCAAGGATCTGATGGCCATCACATCTCCAGATCCCAAGGACGGTGAAATCACCCAGAAGCTCACCATCTTGGACAATGGCTTCGAGAACGTGGCATGCATGGAGTCTGAAATCACATTGATGTAGGCAAAAGTTCACTCTCACCTTTGACATTTTCATGTGCTGACCCAGACAGTGACGGAAACCGAGGTCAAATCCAATATCGTGGCCATCCAATTGAAGACCTCTTTCATAATAATGATTATGAAGATGTTCTTCATTTGTTGATGTGGAACAAGTTACCCACGCCGGCTGAGAAGCTGGATGTTCGACGCAAGTTCGCTGCCGCCATGGTGCCTACGAAGGCAGTTGTCGATACCATTGCTGCGTTTCCGTAAGTACCTATCGACTCGGCTGGACGGGGGAGGAGGAGGAGGAGTAAATAGATACCGAAGCTGACACAAGTGATTGCCCATACAGTCGCAACAGCGACACATATCCCATGTGCCTCGCCGGTATCTGTGCTTTCATGGCAGGCGACAAGGTCATTGCCAACAACCGACACACACACAAACCTAGCTTCCACAACAATCTCGAGCAAGCCGATGCAGCCATTATCCGCACTATCGCCTACTATGCCACCACTCTCGCTCTTATCCACTGTCACAAGCGCAAGTTGACTTTCACCAACCCAGACCCCAATGGCTCTCTCATTGGGAATCTGCTGTTGATGATGGGCAAGACAAACAAGGAAACCGGGGTTGGACCCGACCCTGAGATTGAGGCCTGTCTCGAGAAACTTTGGATTTGCTATGCGGACCACGAGATGACCAACTCCACCGCTGGTCTTCTTCACGCTGGTTCCACCCTCACCGACCCCGGCTCTTGCGCTATCGCTGCGTTGGTCTGTGGTTTTGGGCCCCTTCATGGCGGTGCCATCGATCTTGCTTATGAGGCCCTAGGCAAGATCAAGCACCCCAGCTATGTCCCCGCGTATATCGAGATGGTCAAGTCAAAGAAGGCACGCCTGTTCGGCTACGGGCACCGCATCTATCGCACCCGTGATCCCCGCCTTTCTCTCATTGAAGATCTTATCGAGAAGAATAGGGAGAAGTGTGACGCCAACCCTTTGCTCAGGGTTGCCTTCGCCATTGACAAGCTTGCAAACGAGGATGAGTACTTTGTGAGCAGAAAGCTCAAGGCTAATGCTGATTTGCTGGGATGCTTTCTGTACTCTGCCTTGTATGTGCTATTTCTTATCATTATCAACTGAGGGATGTACACTGACAGTTAATTTCATTCCAGGGGCTTTGAGACTGATATGATCACTGCCATCATCACTTTGTCGAGAATTCCCGGTGGCCTCGCACACTGGAGGGAGACTTTAGGTAGGTCTCAAAACTGGAATGGGGGACCGTAAAATCATGAATGCAGTTCTAACAGACCCGTCACAGACAAGCCCATCAAGATCTGGCGGCCCCGTCAGATTTACACGGGTGACAGGACGGAGGACGCCGACACGCCCAAAAGACAGTCTCTCTCTTCCAACGAGGGCCCACTGAAGGAGAAGCACGGAATCCAGGTCCGTGAGGTCAATTCGGGCAAGAACAACAAGGTCCCTCTCAAGGTCAAGGCCGTTCTTTGGGCCAAAAGTTGCTTCTCATGAAACTGGTTGTCATCAAACTGATAAGGTGTTGCCAAAAATAGATGAGAGACAGGGGGGAGGGGCATAATACCTACCTATCTTGGGACCTTTAGACATTGGGCGTTTTGCAATCTGTTATTTCTTTCCTTCCAACCCAGTCAGTTCTCATAGTTCACGGAGTTTTGGCTTTTTGTTCATATCAACTCCGCTACCAGTACAATAAATACGGCGCAGGTAATCAATGTTGCCCCAAGTTTGCCGCTGGAGACTTTGTGCTGCAATGGCATTTGAGCTCAGAAGTACCTCTCGGGCGGCTCAGATTCACCCCCTCATGGCACCGGCAGATAAGGAGAGCTAGAGACACATGATATCTCAGCTTGGAATGCAATGAAGCGACCAAAACCCCAATGCGGTAGGTAGATATAACAAAGCCAACATGTCATGTATCGGTATTTTCTAGGATAGAGTTATTTTCACTGATAATTGCGGGCATCCCTTAAAGAGGAGGCGTTCTGAAGTTCCAAGAAGCCCTACCTTCATTCTGCACGTGGAGGACGAAGGCTCAGAGCAGTGATCCTTCCCAAGAGGCGTGTAGTTGCGCAAAAATTGAAATATATGTACGGGATTCACCAGCGAATAGGCAAAAGTACCGCTGCATCAATAGATTAAACTGCTACATCTCGTCTGGGATGCCACAGCCTGCAACCGACCGCCATCAACATTGTGAGGTCGGGGTGGTTTCCCTTTTGACCTCTACCTACCACCTTCCCATTCTTTTCCTAAGTGCACAATTCAATATAAATCGGAAGACTTGTTACCCGGTCAAAGACTGCTCCTTCGGTGGACTTGGCAACAGAACTGCGACGCCAAGGGTGGTTTAACTACCTACCATGCATGAACGGTACATGCTGCATGTCACCCAGTCCTCCTATCCTCCTGTCGGTATTTGTGTTGTTGGAAACGACAGGTCTTGGGCCCCCTTGGAAGGCTCGCAATGGGAACTCGGAATGAACATGAATAACACGCTGTGTAGTGATGGCCAGTAAGAAGCCCTTTAGAGCTACACAGACCCATGGACCAAACCCACCATTGAGATAGAACATGTTGCAATTCGCTGGGAACGTTCCAGCCACAATTTGAAGGACAATGGCCTGATAATGAGGTCTGAAAATAAGGCATTGCCAAGTATGAAGGCGGATGTAGTATGGAAATTGAGGAGCAGAGACCGTCTATAAAAGTTCTACTGCCGTCATTGCAATCGACCTTCATCATCTTCATCACCATTCCTGCCTCATACAAAACAAGCGACACTACCAGCAGCACCAATGCTTCACTACATATTTCTTCTCACCCTTCCCCTTGTTGCGTGGTCTCTTCCCTCGCCGGATCTTGTTGGTCCCCGCAGACGTCCTACACGTTTCCTCGTCCATAGCCGCTCAGAGGCTAGGGACATCGACTACTGGAACAGGCCTCGCTCAGACTCGTTTCTATCCAAGAGATCCAATGTCCATTCGGTTGACTTCTTCACAAACCCCCCTTCCTCGCTGAGCGCCCGGGCCCCTTTTGCGTTGTCCTCTCCTGCCTCTCCTTTGTTTGCTCCCGCAGAAAACAAAAGAGCTACCGCCGGGCAATGGGAAAACATGTCTGGCTCCGGGGTGTATCATCCCGCTGTCACCTCATGGGGCCCCAATCGCCAAGACGTCTATTACATGCATCGCGACCGCAAGTGCCGTCACAAATACTACCGCGGCGGCAGTAATCCTTGGAATCCAGATTGGGATGACCTCGGAGGCAGCCTTGACTCGGCTCCCAGCTGCTGCAGCAGGAAGAGCGGTTATATGCATGTATTTTGCAAGGGAACAGATTACCAGATCTGGCATCGGCCTTATGGTGGAGGTGGCTGGGGATCGTGGGAGCCCATGGGAGGAAACGGCAAGCACTACCCCTCTTCGTGTTCTTGGGGAGGTAGACATGCGTCTGTTTACACCAGCTCCGGTGATAACCAGTTGTGGGGAACCCAGTATGATGAGAAGAGCGGATGGGGCAGCTGGCAGAATATGGGTGGTTCCCTCGCCGGTGCACCAAAGGCTGTCACATGGGGGGAAGGCCATACCGGGGTAGTGGTGAGAGGAACGGATGGCCAAGCGTGGGTGACACAGATGATGAATGGAAACACGTGGGGAAGTTGGGCCAGTCTTGGAGGGTCGTTGGAGAGCGAACCCAGCGCTGTTGCTTGGAATGGTAACATGGCTGTAGCTGTCGGGGGAACCGATGGGGCGGTGTGGATGAGAACGTATACAAACAGCACTGGATTCTGGGGTAATTGGATGAATATGGGCGGCGATGTTCGACCAGGCACCCCCCCTGAGGTTGTTGCATGGGGCACCCAGATGGAAGTGTACTATACAGGTCGAGATGGTGCACTCTACCGCAAGAAGGCCAACAATGGCCAGTGGACAGCCTCATGGGAGAATATGGGCGGAAGTGTTGTTACCAAGCCCAGCGGGATGGCCTGGGATAACGGAAAGGTTGACGTCTATGGCATGTCCTCGGATGGGAGCACTCGTCGATGCTATTGATGGGTACAAGTTGATATAAAATGCTGTAGTTTTGGCACTAGGGGTTTGCTTACCTTAGTCTAAGTCGGACGCCGTTGACGCCCAGAATGAGATTGGATTGACCCAGTCAACGTTTCGGTTGTTGAAGAAGGTATGCGCTCTCAGATGGACCTGCATCTCATCCAAGTTACATGTGGTCAACGATCTACCACGTCATTCATCAATTGCCATTGGTCCGCTGGCGTAATGGCAGCGCGTCTGACTACGACTGAATACTATATACATCAACATCAGGAGGTTCCAGGTTCGACCCCTGGGCGGATCATTCCTTTTAGATTCACAGTTCCACTCTTTTTATCCTTCTGCACCAGATGCCTCGTCGCTGCAATTCTGAGATCATGCATACCAATTGGTGACGACTGGTACGGAGTAGATTGTGAGTCGACCTCTCATCCACGGTGTCAGTTTCGGCCATCAACACAACAGCCTCCATCCATTCCTGCCGTGCCGATCAGTTTTTCGGACCATCAATAGCAGGCCACGAGTGGCTTGCAGCCCCCATCTTGTCATTTCAGATCCGGCACCCAATCCTCAATCAAACCTTTCTGTTTGGCTTGGGTATCCGCAAGAATTGGGTCAACCTCGCGCCACGTCTAGTCAATCAATTTTCCGGGCTGGGGTGGAAGTCGCATGTTGACAAGGACGTGGATACTATTCTATCAGAAAACAATGTTGACTCCAACCCGATTGACGACATTATTCTATCTAATCATCACGTTGGTCATGTCGGAAACCCAGCAACGTTCCCGTCGTCAGTTCCCCTTGTAGTGGGTTCTGGATTTACAAAAGCGATGATACCGGGGTACCCTTCGAATCGTACCTGTGAAATCTTGGAGAGCGACTATAATGGAGCCAAAACCTAGAAGTGGACTTTAGCAGAACCAGGTGCAAGATTCGAGACTTCGACGCTGTTGATTTCTTCAGCGACGGGACACTATATCTCCTGGACGCCCCAGGCCAAACCCTAAGACACATCTGTGTCTTTGCAAGGGTTGCGCAGACTTTGTTTGTCTTGTTAGCTGGAGATGCCAGTCACCAGGCGGGCGAATTACGACCGTCTAAATACCTCCTCCCGCTACCGGAGCGAATCTCCCCGTCGCCATTCTCCTCGTCCGAGCCATGTCTGAAGAGCACCTCTTGTGCAGGGTCTCCTCTATTCGAACCTCTCCTCCCAAATGGACCAGCTGCTAGCTTCTACACGCCAGGCACTGGCGCTGACTCAGGATGGCATCACGATGTTGGCGAGCTACAGAAGACAGTGCACAAGCTTCAAGAGTTAGTTGAAATGATCAGATTCTGATTTTTGCGAGCCACGACGAGAACTTACTAGACATTTTTGAATTCTTTCCCAAAGGGACTGTGGGCCAGTTTGTCCAAAAAGGCTGGAAAGAGAAGGTGAAATGGAGGTTTCTTCGTGACTTTGGAAAGGCGCTTCCAATTTTCCGAAGGATGTCTGGGCATGAATGGAGAACTGATCGATAAATATCATTTAACTTCCTACTTAAATCATTGATGCTAGTGGTATCATTGTTTGTGTGCCGAAATCCATTGGTCATCCGCATACTCCTTTCCGCCCAATACCTTTGTTTTTCCCTTCCTTATCCAAAACTTATGAAATATATGATCCCGTTTAAACGCCCAGCTATGCAGCAGCATCCCAAGTAAAGGTCAAAAAGTCCTAGCGAGGTTATAACGCCCTCCCGGGTAATTCATCGTGATCGTCGGGTGTGTTTTGATAAATGTCCTTCTGCACTTGATGCATGTCGATATGTGCAATCGCACTATCTCCATCAAAGATCCTAGCAATCTCTTCCAATGTCGGCCCTTTTGTCTCAACATAAAAGAACCACACAAACACGAGTTCAAATAAATTCCAGATGGTGTAGAATAGCATGAGGTTCCAATGGTTCGGTAGTCTCTCCCAAGCAATCTTGTTTGTTTGGCTGAAAGCAGAGGTAAAGTGTTAGCCATAGGTCCTAATGGAGGTACGGGCTGAGAGAGAAGACTAGACAGTACTCACTTTCCAAGTGCCAGGATGGCTTGCACCGTGATATTCATAATCATCATCCCTTTGGCGCGGAGGTGGAAGGGCAGAACCTCAAGAGCGTATGCCACCAGCAAGCCTGAGAATCCGATATCGTAAAAGATACCAAACACCCAGATGAAGACCAGCTGCACATAGCCGGCAGTAAGGTTAGTGGGATTGCTGTGTTCGTAAACAACTCCGGTAATAGTCCAGCAGAGGAACGAGATGACCATGCCGACCATGGCTACCAGAAACATTGGCCTTCTCCCCCATCGATCGACGTTGAGTGCTGCGGTGATTGTGATTATGAGATCGAGGATGGTCTTTCCGGTGGACATGGCGAGCTTTTGGTTCTGATCATGGATGCCCGCTCCTCTGTAAATCATGTCGATGTAGTTGCTGAACAGGGCGTTGCCACTGTACTGAGAAATGACGCCCAAAGATACTATGATGGCCAGCCGCCACCTGTTTCCCTTGGTCCGCAAGAAGTCCTTGTAGCTCGTGGATTGCTCGTTCTCCTTCTGAATGCGTATCGTTTCACGGATCTCGCGGTACTCGAACTGGACCGTGGCGTTGTTCAGGTCTCCGCCGGCGTGCCATTTGGACAGGATGTGCAGAGCTTCTTGCGGCCTGTCCTTGTTGATGAGGTAACGCGGTGACTCGGGAATCCACCAGATACCCGCGAGTTGAATCAGGGATGGTACAATCTGAAGGAAGGTGATGGACCTCCACGACCAGTCGTTCTTGATATTGGCGGTGCCCCAGGCGATGCATGACACAAGCAATGCTCCAGCATTCCACAGACAGTTGTACACAGCTGTGACAGGGCCTCGGTGTTGTGGGTGACAAATTTCGGTGAGCAGCAGCGGCGAGGCCATTTGGGAAAGAGAATTCCCAAAGCCTAACATAAAACGACCGCCCATGTACACTATCGGCGTTGATGTCAGCGTTGTCTCTCTCAGGACTTATCGGATGGGCTCAACAAACTCCCATAGCCGTTGGCAAATGCAGTCACTAGACCACCTCCTATCATGAACAGACACCCAGCAACAATGGCCGATCTCCTCCCATACGTATCTGCAATATGTGGCGTGATGAAAAACGATATGATGGATCCAATGTTGAACATGTTCACCAAGATGGCGAGCTTGCTGTCCAGGATGGGATCTCCTTCAGGCCTATCCCTTAGCTCTGGGAAGAAGAAGTACCTCCACAGGTCTATCTGCTGTGAAGTGTTGACCAGCATGCCGTCGTAGCCCGTCGTTGCCGAAGCCACCATCAATATCGCCGCCATGCCGTAGAGCTTCCGCAGGTGTGGTTCCCGTGTCCAGTATACCCTCTGGAAGCGAGGAGTCTCGTGGACTGCCACCTCAAAAGACGAGGCGGAGTCATTTCTGATGCGTTGTCGTTGCGCCATGGCGACTTGACCGACCGTCACTGCCCCTTCCTCGATTTACTGGGTTATGTCTCTGGCTTCTTGCGGTATCCTGAACCGGGTGATCATCGAAATGGGTCGTCGTCAGATGGAGCGGCAGAGGTCCCAAAAGAAGAAAAGAAGAAAGCAAAAGGTCACAGACTCCCGTGCGTGCATATCCGTTTGTACAAGTATCCGTCGCTGGGACGGTCCATCATTCCAACTGACCCTGGTAACTGATGGTTGTCAAGCACAGATGGAGAGGGGAATTCATTAAGGCCCAGGGGGGCAATCCTTCGAAGTCCCAACGGGGGCTAGTTGACAGTCCGCCGTTGCACCATGAGCGGGGTATGGACTCAACTGGGGAACTTCCATGGATGCAAGGCATTCTGAGGAGCGACCCAAACGGCGCAGCGGACAGGGTGTGCCGAAGGGTGTCACCTTGCATGACGGGCAACAGTCAGTAACTAGTGGTGCTCGCGTGGTGTTGATGTCCCAAATACGGCGTGCAATCTCGTAAAAGTTCTCGGTTCCAGACAAGAGTCCCATGTTGTTGGGAGCTGCGCCGGGGTTGTTCTCGCTGCATGGCACTTCCACACAGACCTCGGGTCGTGTCATTGTGCAGTTTGACGAATGCGAGAATACCTGCCGCTGCCGCTCGAATATGAAAGACTGAGGAGAAGAGGATGCCGACGGGAGAAGGAGGCCCGGACGAAAAAATGCGACGCTCGAAGCTGGCCAATGGGAGTGGAGCAGGCGACGGGATGTACGCAATTCGCGCGACCTGTCAAGGAATGACGGACATGTTGGTGTCCATCTGGAACTGTGGATAATAGCTCGACTGGAAGAATTCGAGGTGTGGTATCAGTGTGTGTGTCGAGGATATTGCTTGCCCCAGACGATGGACCGATGGGCGACGATCCCTCCATGGACCTCGTCACGTTGGCGAAACAGGAGAGGAGCGGCGCATGCTGCAGGGGGAGAAGAAGAAGAGACCGGATGAAAGGGGAATGGAATCGGGCGGGCCGTGAAACGAACAGGGTCAGAATGCGGGGAGGTGCGCCTGGGACAGCTGGTAGGCCTGGAGCCTGGGAATCCGGATCGGTGGGCCGGCTGTGTGGGTGCTGGCCAATAGACTTTCCCGGGAATTTGCTTGCATGAAATTCCAGGTGCGCCCCGACCCAGACCCACCTCGAGAAGCATAAGCAGAGAGATCCGACTTTTCCTGGCTTCCAAAAAAGGTTGATCTGATGATACCTCCAACGTCGGCCCATGTTCACCATGACAAACACTCAATTTGGTCATGTATTTGCTGCTGTTTCAAAGCTATCCAATCATCACTTCAACATATCAATCAACCAGACGGGACGCCTCCTGACCTTGACCTTGGGCTTTTGCAATGCCAAGCTCCTTTAAGCGTACCAGTTGCCCATCTTGAAAAGAAAGAATTTCCCCGTGTACGTGTAAGCTAAGCTAAAAAGACATGATGCAGAGGATGAGGAAAAAGTCGTACCATGAGAATTTGATCTCAGATGAGCAAGGACCTTGAGGCTACCTGCCCGCTTGGTTTCCGCCATTGCCATTCCCGCCGCTGTCGTCTCCAACGCCGTTTCCCCCATTGTTGCTTCCACTGTTATCGTCACCTCCGCCGCCCTGGTTGGGCTTGCATGTTCAGGGTGGGCAGTGAGCCGAGATGAGTGAGCGGGAGGTCCGGCTCGGCTTGTCTTACCACTTCCGGGGTGCCGCTCATCCCATCGCCGGAGCCGGCTCGTCTCAGTCCAGTAGCACCTTCGGGTCTCAGTGGAACGAGCCGGAAGTGGCTTTT